ATTAAAAAATTTAAATATTAAAAAAATTAGTAAAAATCTTCGCAGGCAAATTTGTCTGTGTTACAATTTAAGGGATACAATAAGCTTAAAATGATATATATTGTTAGAGTTAGAGTTGGTCTAAAATTCTAAAATTGTCAGGAATTGTCCGGAATGGAGTTGATTTTCTGAATAGGGATTTATATTTGTACATTTTATTATGATGTAAAAAAAGAAAATTTTGATTAAAAATTATCATATAAAAAACATATAAAAAATGTATTAAACCTATATATTTAACAAATATTTTTTAAAATGTTCAGAATGGAGTTTATTTTTTGAACAAAAAATTGAATAATTTCAATTTTCTGAACAATTTTCATAGGGTGTATAAGTGTATTCATTGCGTAATGAGCTTAGAGCGGCATATATATATATAAAAATAAATAAACACCATAGGTGCATTTCAGTAGTGCTGTAAAAATATATGAAAGTTGAATACAAAAATATATGTATATAAAAGCAATTAAATTGATATGATTGATATTTTCTACCTACACAAATTCGAAATTAATTGAGTGATTTACTATGATATAGGCTTTGTGTAATAGATTCCAGGGGAGACCGTCTCAAATTAGGAAATCATCAGAAAAACGTTACACAATTCATTAAAGATTATTTATACAGTTTACAATACTTTTTCGTGAAACTATCGTGGCTTATTTGCATTATGAAACATGACTTAAGTTATTAAGCAAACTTGTAGCTTTCGTATTGTGCTTTAAGAAAGTCGTTTGATTCATGTTGATTCACCGGATATTTATATTTGATTTATCTAATATATTACTAATTATCTAATATGTAAATAATAATATAAATATTTGGTGAATCAACTTGAATCAAACGACTTTCTTAAAGCACAATATAAAAACCACAAGTTTGCTTAATAACTTAAGTCACGTTTCATAATGCAAATAAGCCACGATGGTTTCACAAAAAAGTATTGTAACTGTATAAATAATCTTTAATGAATTGTGTAACATTTTTTTGATGATTTCCTAATTTGGGACGGTCTCCTCTGGAGTAATAGATACATCTAGAATCATCTGATCATCAATCCTATACTAAAAATGATGCGATCAACACTATCCAAATATGAAAAAATCCCAAAATATACTAAACATATTTTAGATACAGTAGTTGTAACTGTACTTGTGATATTTGTAACCAAAAATATCTAAACATAAAATCTAATAAACAGTAGAGGCAAGACTGCCAAATTAAAAAAAAAAAAATTGTCTAACCCACTTATAAAAACTTTCTCTATAAATACATCTATATGATTACTGGTCAATTAAACTTATTATTTTTAAACTACTTATCACATAATAATCACATTAGTGTTCTCCAATTACAGCTCTCCATATAAGTAAAAATCTGAATAATAAGATTACATAGAATTTGAGCCAACAATATATATATATATATATATGATATAATGTGATTACTAAGATTAAAAGTAATTATTTGCCAGTGATTGTAAAATTACTTATGAATTGCTTATGAGTTACTTATCAGTTTTTATATAGAGGGCTCCACAGCAAAAGGTGGTGATGGGCCAAAAAAAAATTTTTTATAAAAACTTCATTTTTGCAAAAATTAGATTATTTTGAACACAATATCAAAAAACTACAGAAAAAAATTTTTTGGCCCATCACCACCTTTTGCTGTGGAGCCCCCCATATGCTGTTCATGAGTAAAGTAACCCACATATAGGCGGAATTTGTGATGTTGGTGATTCGAATTTTAATAATCACAACGGTACATTAAAAATTTTCGCCCATATGCTAGGGAGGTCTGTACAAAAATTGGCCAATCACTATGACACGTGAAAAAATAACAGATGAAAACTTATAAACTTCTAATTTTTCGCACTTACAAATTCGATTCCTTTTTTGGTTTGTATTACCCCGCGCAAAAAGTAAAATCTTTTCTGTCTCGTTCTGCATATAATGACTAAATTAATTTTTGGAACAAAAGCTTATATATCAATTAAGCCTAATTTTATTAATAGGATAATTAAGTTTTCTTTAGCAATTAAGATGATCGAACATGAAAGTTTATGACCATTGGCTGAAGAACTGTATATTGTATAGAAATCATGAAAGGAAAACATGGATGTGCGATCAACATCACGTATCGCCTAAGAAAGACTTGTTAAACAAAAAAAAAAAAACCGAATAAAAAAAAAACAAAAGGCTATGAAGAAAAGAGATATTTACTTGCTTCGATTACTATTTCTATCCGGCAAGCCAAATATAATTTTAAATTTTAATTCCTTGGTCTCCCTTGAGTAAAACTTGGCGACGTTTTCTTGACAAGGCTTAGGCCTTTATTCAAAATTTATTAAATAGCATACTCAAGAAATTCTATAATGAATATCTTTTATATACATACCTATCAAAGGCAGATATTATTTTATCGTCATAGGCAAACAAAGCATGATCGAAATAAGGACTTTCACTACACGTCTGGGGACCATAAGGTAATGATGCAAGAACCCGTTTCACAGCTTGGAATGGTCTAAATAGCGGGACAATATGCAGTTCTCACAAGATGAATAACAAGTAATCGAACGATGGCAGCATCTAAGTATCACACCCACCCTCCATTTCGAGCATGTCTAACTGAATACAAATGTTTCTTGAAATTTTCTCTGGCATAAAGATTATTCGAGTAGATAGAGTTAAATGAAAAAGGCTCATTGAAGGCGATTTGTTGAAAACCCTCACATAAAGTCTCACATTCGGTGAGAAGTTCCTCAGATGCATTATCAAAAATCGAGATTACTTCAGTTGTCAGAAAATTATATATAACAAAAAAAGCTGTGTGTGATGCACTATCATTGTGCTAAAATAAATATGAAATCAATATTACAGCAATGCGACATAAACCTATTATTTAATTGATACTAACATGTCCAATGACGCAATCGACATTTCCAAATTTAATAAGAAATTTAGATTCGTCAATAAATTGTATTTTCCACATGACAAGTGAGGAAAGCTGCTCGAATATTTGATAAAAGTGACGCAAAGCCAAACCACTGTGACGTTATAAATATATATGAATCAATATGATTAACAAAATGGGTAAAATTAAATACGATAATTTATTACCCGTCATCAGTATCATATGCTTTCTTAAATAAATATGTAAGCAGTTTTTGTTTGATACCACTAAATGGAGCTGCACCCTGTTTAGGAATAAATAATAAGGGTCAAACACATTTTTATCATTTCACCGACAAATTTCCCATAACCCTACCTATACTCTAACATATGACAGATGTTATTGGAAATGACTGTGAACTCCTTCCATAGAAATCAATTTATATTAATTACATTAATTACCTTGTCAGTCGAGGGTGTCGATAATAGTTCTGGCATACTTTGTATAGAGTTTTGTCTAGATATAAGGAAAGAATCTGAAGGAACCCTATTATCCGTTAGACTGCTGAATGAATCAACTGATAACGAAGGACCTAGTGACGGCAATTCTAATTTCTCGTCATCCAATTCCATAATTTCTGATGTCGCGTTTTTATAAAGAATTGGGTTGACCATTGTCCTTTTGTTAATCCGAAATTGAGCATCAAAATCTCGATATCGAGCTAACACAAGTTGATCATCATCATAATTAAACCATCCTATATCTTGTACATCAATAAACTGTCCATCATCCTACAATATTTGACATAAAGTTATAATTATCTGATTTAAATTTATAAAAACATAAGCCTTCATACCTTGATATGCAAAATATGAATTATCTGATTTTGGATTGATATGATAGAAAATAGATTGCCAATAAAACTAACGCCAGAGTGATAAGATAAATGTATACATTCATTTTTGTAAGTACGCTTATCGCACACCTATACATAGTGTTAATACATTAGCAAAAAAAAAAAAAATTTACGATTTAAATTATCGAAATTATGGTTCTATCCTAAAAGCAATTTTCCCGAAAAGACATAATACTAACCAAATTGGCCAGCATTATAACTAATGCTGGCTAACTTTGTCGGTATTATGCCTTTTTCAGGAATCTGTCTTCTGGGATTTTAGGGTAGAACCGAAATTATTACCTTTCCAGTAATTATTTCGACAAGATAAAAAGTGATATCATCAAGACTTGGTATGCAATTCAATGAGCAAGGATATAATCGAGCTTCTTCAGGTTGACAATTTGACGGTAAGGAAGATGCAAGTACCATCTAGAAGATTGTTGAAGTCAACTTCAAAAATAAAAAACGCATAATTTGAAAGTCTAAGTATTACATATTTATTATTTGTCGTGATCAAGCAGAAATCTTTACAAAGAAATTCCGAATGATTTGATATGATGGTCCGTTCGTATTTGAGAGAGAAAAATTTATCAAAAGTGCTCGTATATTAAGGAAAAAAAACAGAACACAGAAGATTTCAATTAAAAGACGAAAATTCAAGGATATGCATTGTAAGTATTGATTAATGTATTTGCATCCAAAGAAGTTTCAAGGAATGCGTATTCAAAACGAAAGAGTTGTATGTTACGTAAACAGCGTGAAAAACATATCATATACTAGTCAATCAAGGAATTCAGGTCAATGTGAGCGCGACGCGTAAGAAATTTGAAGATGCACTCACATATGCACCATACGTACGTCACCATCCGGAGTAAATCTTCGAAAGAAAGAGTTAGGGACATTCACATTAAAAATTGTTTCATTAGGGTAGAAGTACGTGTATAGCTTCCTATTATTAAGAAACTGTAAATTTAGGCTGGGGATAGATATTTCTCTATCCAGTAAAGAGTTTATACAGGTGTTCTTGTTCTTTTGCATAACTTTATTTCAAATGAAACCAAAAAGCGAATTAAACAAAACTGGTGAACGCGATTTCTTAGCCGTTTCGAAAAACCCGCTGGTATGAACAGAAATCCTGATTTTAAAATAGATATAGTTAATATATATATAGAATTTATATGGCCATCATCAGTAGATAATCCAGAACTATATTACTGTACAAATTCGGATTAGTCATTATCATTATTGCCTTTACTGTAATAATATATTGGATATACAGTAATATTTTTTATTTAATTCGTCATTTGTGCTATCATGTATGACACTGATTAGATAGCTTTTAGATGTTATAAGATCTGCTTTATAGAATTGTAACAACTTGCGCTCCCTAGGCAACATCCTTTTTTTTTTTACCCGTCTAAAAGCTTCGGGTTCAGACATTCTTTTGTACATTTAAGTACTAGCAACAGATTATCACCTAGTTGTTAAAATGCACGATGCATTTAAAGTTTCCCTTGCATTAGACAAATTGCCATTGCAACATAGAATAGAATCTATCCTTGCACATGGTTGGTATTAAAACAAATCAGTTATTTTCTTATCGGCGTCAAATAACCTTTGTATTCATTAAAAACAGGTCAAAAGTTGTTCATAGGCACTAATACAGGTACTTTACTTGTATATGAGGTCAAAGAGGATTTAGGTATGTCTTTTATATGTGTATATGTTGGATCATGACAAAATTCTAAACATATCCTACCGTCCGAATATTAAATTGTATGTTCTTCACCTTGGTGATTCCAGAAGATGAATCTTTAACGGTCACTTTGAAAGATACCGTGAAGAGTTTTTCCAAAAGCAAAATTGATCAGCTAGGCATTATAAAAGAAATTGGTGTTCTAGTTTCACTTTCAGGTATCTTAATTACCAGGTATATGCGTAGCAAGTAATCATTTTATACCAGATCAAGTATTAAAGTGAACTCTCTCTACTATTGATGCCTAAGATGGTTGTGTCAATATTTTTGATTTGAGCACTTTTGAATTGCAACGTTCGTTGGCCAAGACGCGAGGAGCAAACTTATTTGCTATTGATACACACATTGAAATCAATGAAGAGGGAGGAAATGGTGGAATTCCTACGATAGTAACACGTTTAGCGGTAGCTGTGAAGAAAAAAGTGCTTGTTTTTACATGGAAAGATACGGAATTCAAAGATACGAAGGTGGAAAATGATAAATTATTTATTATCACTTTTGATTCATAAAAATTTCGTTTTTATAGAAAAATTTTTATTTTCAGGATCTTTCATCGCCAGATAGGATCAAAACAATGGCATGGGTTAGTCACAACCAAATTTGCTTGGGATTGGCTAATGAATATTCGCTGATTAACATCAACACTGGTGCAACAACTGGTCTCTTGATGCCGTCTGGAAATGCCGGCGCTGCCCCCTTTTATAATATGGTAGGAATTGGAGGAATTGGAGCAATTGGAGGAATTGGAACGAAAGTTAGCAAACCCCTGATGATAAAGTTGCCAAACCATGGAATCCTTTTGGCTAAAGATAGTGGGTATCTCAGGTTATTTAATTGATAATTTTCTTATTTGTAAATATTATCGAGTGTTTACTATATACATTTGGATGCATTATCACATCGGAGTGTCTTTAAGAATCAAAAAAAAAAGCCCTGTATTGACATAATTTTAAAGAGATTATATACAATGATAATTTCAAGAATCATTTACTTTATGAAAGATCAAAATGCAAACAGAAAATTCAGCCTTTTATTTTAATTTAAACAATATGATTATCTAGGCGTAAGTGTTTTTGTGGACCTCGATAGTAATACTACACGAAATGCTGGAATAGATTGGTCTGGTGTGCCCGAAGAAATAGGTACGAATTAAGCTCTAAGAATAATGAAAATTAATTAAGATTATATACTGTATGTACTTATTTTGTTGTGATTAAAGGGTACTCTTATCCTTATCTTATTGCGATACTCCCGAGACACGTAGAAGTTAGAAATATTAAAACCCAGGCTTTGGTCCAAACGGTCGAACTTCCACAGGCAAAATTTATTAATCAAGGAAAATACTTGTATATTGCTAGTTTTACAAGTGTTTGGAGATTTATTCCTTTGAATTTTGATCAACAGGTACATTATTTGCCTTAATTATTTTTTCAATAATGACATATATGACAATTAAATTTTGTTTTTGATGGGTTCCCCCATTAGATAGATCAATTAGTCGATAAACATCAATATGAAGAGGCTATAAGTTTAACTGAGCAAATTGAACAAATTCTGCTTCATGATAAGGTAAAAATGATATGCAGCATGAATTTTATATTAGCTATTTATAACTAGTTTATTATTATGGCAGGAAGCAAAACTTCGACATATACGAAATCTTCTCGCACATGATCTTTTTCAACAACAAAAATTCGATGAAGCAATTACTATTTTTCAAGAACTTGAAACCGATCCTGCTGAAGTCATTGCTTTGTATCCTCCATCAATATCAGGAACGCTTTATTTGGGTGCATCGCACCAACAAGACTTAGAAAAATCTGAAATCAATCATGAAAATGGATTAACTGCAGTGAGTTCTGATCAAGATGAAAAAACTTCAAAGAATGAAGAATTCATAAACGGGCTAAACCAGCAATTTCTTCTCGGTATGCCGTATTTTACGTAGATATAATTCTTTATGTATTTCCTTATTCTGACTTTATATTATTTCTTTCATACTCTATATATGATAACAGAAGGAAAGTTATTGGAAGATGCTGTAACAGCATTGATAAGATTTTTGACGGATCGACGACAAAAAATATCTAAAATATTGCATCCTCAACCACAAACAAAAAGTGATACTTCATCTTATGTTAACGGGAATTACGACCACACCCTGAAAATTGCAGAGTTGGTAGATACAGCTCTACTGAAATCGTATATGTTCACAAATGATGCATTAGTTGGGCCGCTTCTTAGGGTGCCTAATCACTGTAATGTTGAGGAAAGTGAAGGGCTTTTATTAGAGCGTAAGGTATATAAAATATCGACTTGTTCATTTAAATATTATCGTACTTGCTTACTCCTTCACTCGATTATGATAGAAATATAAAGAGCTGGTTGACCTATATCATGGGAAAGGCTTGCATCGCAAATCTTTAGACTTACTGAAAAAGTAAATTATCATGAAATTTTTTATTATGATTATAAATAAACTCTTAGTTTATACAATGACATGTTATTATTTATAGACTTGGTCAATCACCAGACGGAGGAAAAATGAAAGGTGTATTCCATACCATATATCATATGCATCGTCTTGGAGTAGAACATTTTGATTTGATATTAGAATATGCTGCGTGGGTTCTAGAGACTGACCCTATCGCGGGATTGGAGGTAGTATTTATTCATTTGTCTTAAACACTTTCTACTCATGACGTCTAATGTCTATATTGTAATTATAGATATTTATCGATGAACATCCCGAAGTCATGAAATTTTCACGAGAAAAAGTCTTAAAATATCTAGAAGGATTTTCTTATGACTTATGTATAATGTATTTAGAACATATTATAGGCGAGCTTCACGATCCAACTCCCGATTTTCATAATAAGTTGATTATTAATTATCTAAACAAAATTCAGCGGTTGTCATCGCAAGCTCCATCAGATAATTCTAACTTAAACCATCCACGTATGTCTATTACACGTTTTGTAAATTTTGTTTCATATTCATTCATATTAATACTTTCTTTATTCAGCTTCTGGATCGGAAACGGAGACAAGTGACGAAATAAATAAGAAACTTTTGAAATTTTTGGAAACATCTACTCATTATAAAGCAGAAAAGATTTTGGGTCACTTGCCTTTGGATGGTATATAAATATATACATGCTAAAAGGTCCATTCATAACCAAATATATGACATCTATCATCATTTTCTCGTTAGATTTTTATGAAGCACGGGCGATATTACTCAGTCGGCTTGGTCAACACGATCAAGCTTTAAATATATACATACATAAATTACAAAATGAACAGCTGGCGGAAGAGTACGTCCAAGTCCTATTTAAGTAAAAATAATGATGTTCGATTGCTAACTTAACCTATTTAATTAGGTATTGCGTGAAGAATTACAAAGATGATGATTCAAAAAATGTGTTTATATCATTATTACGAGTATATTTGCGCCCAAATAATGGCGAGAATATGATGATCGAGCCTGCTATGCGACTTCTATCACGCCATGGATCGCGTATTAATGCATCCGAAGTTAGTATTATGATGAATATTGTTATTTATTTTATCAAACCATTTTATTTGTTATTACGGAATTCGCAGCACTAATTTAGAACGATTGTAGGCATTAAATATGCTCCCTTCATCAACAGAAATTTCACAATTATATTCCTTTTTTGAGAAAAATATGAGAGAAAGTAATCGGAATAGGAATATGAATTTGATTGTAAAAAATTTGTTGAAAGCAAATCAAGCTCAAGTAAGCTTTTTTATTTATTATAGCTTCGCCTACCCTTTCTAAATAACCTAAAAATTATTTAGGCTGAAGAACAATTGATGTTTTATCGATCTCGGAGAGTCAAGATTGATGAGGATCGTATGTGCCCTCAATGCACCCGGCGTATAGGACACAGGTTTGTTTTTATGCTTCATCGTGAACAAATTTATTTTATTTTACTAATGTTTTCATTCGCGTTTTTCGTTTAGTGTATTTGCGGTATTTCCTAACGGAGTTGTTGTACATTATCATTGCAAAGAAAAGGTGAAATTTTTATTTTTTTGTTTTTTATTTTATTTTATTTTATCATATTTTAACTAAGCATTTTATTCATTTAGTATTCACTAGCGCATGATATCTTTTCTAAAAATAATGAATAAAAGTTATCTTAAGATCTTCATTAATTAAATATAAATATTTATTTATTATTTATTATATGATTACAGAAATGTAACAAATTTATGAGAATATATTATTGCTTTTTAAAAAATTACCGAATACAACCTTTCGATTCAAACGGTCTAAAAAAATCCTGGCGATTAGATCAATAGCAATCGTTTATGACATATTTATTATTGTAAATATCATCACACATCAATTATTAGTTTTTAACTTTGTTTTACATGTATTATTAATTAAATATATATTAATTATTATACAAACTGAAAAATAAATTATGTATAATAGTAAATTATAAAGGTAAATTTACTTGTACGCTGTATATACATGGTTATATAAAAAAGCCGATTAAAATAGTAATATATATAATAGAATTACTGTATTTCCTTTTATATTTACATTATATTTTTAATACAGTCAGGAATATTACCATATTTGGTTATTGACGATCGCACCTTATTTAGTGATGATCGTCAATCGGATTATTCTAGTTCTTTTTCTAGATTGTTCCATGTATAACAATGATTAGCCAATCAAATTGAGAGCCAATAGTTCTTGACTATATAGTTTCTTTAATGATACTAAAACTAGTTCTTTTGTGTATACAAATTTTTTTTTAATTTCGTTGCTTGCCTATTAACCTTAACCTTTTTTTTTTTTGCTATACACATGGCTACAAATATTTTTTAAATGAATCAAAATCTTGACTTTAATAGCTGCTAGCGCAGTGTAGAAGATAAGTGTTTCAACTAGGATCTTTCAACCGGTGTGGATTGAAAATTTTAAACGGGTTAGCAAAAACATTTTTTAAAGAGAATCAACTTCTTTGAATCTTGTAGATGCACTTTACGAAAATACTACACTGAAAGGTTTGAAT